TGTCTTGAAGGAAATGCAACCAGAGTGCTCCTTAGAGGCAAGGGTGGTGAAACTCCGTTTCACGTATCTTTGGCATAATGTCTGAAAGGCCAGCCTTTGGAAAAAAAATCTGCTGGGAAAGACAGAGGGTCAAGGAAAGGGAGGAAGAGCCTCAATGCGATGGATTGGCACAGACTACAACAACGGGCTTGGATTATCTAACCATTCTTTTCTTACACTCCCACCCTCCCTTCTCCCCACTCTAACCATCCTACTTTTGATGAATAGACAATCAGATATAACGTGCACTGCAAATAAACATCTGGAGCAGGATACACACTATGGATCGAATGGGGCTGGGAGGGGAAGGAGAAGAGGAGGAGGGAACAGGGCAGAGGTGGATGAAGAGTTTCACCTGCTATATTAAGGGTTTGCTTTAATACTTTAAGAAGTGAATTGCAACAATTGAATTAATGCCTAAGAATGATTTCTGAAAAAAAAAAAAAGAATGGGATTTGTAAGCTTTCACCTTTTACTCAAATTTTTTAAAAAACCAAAAACTTGAGCGTGGTGGAGATTGTGATGATGGCCTGGGCTTGGGCAAGTTTAGATACGCTGTTCACAGGGGCACTATGAATTGCACTCAATTTGACGACATGCCTCATATACTTTGGGCATGTTGTTAGGAGAGGCTACTCCTAGGAGAAAGACATTATGTTTGGAAAGGAGGCGGCTTGGCAAAAGAGAGGAAGGCCTTCGACTAGATGGATTGACATGGTGACTGCAGCGACGGACTCAATGTCAGAGATGATGAGAATGTCAGAGGAGAGGACAAGTTCATATCTGCTGTTCACACGGCAACTATGAGTCATACTTGACCCGATGGCACCTAACAACAACAACAACAACGAATGTGTGTAGATCCTGGACAATTACTAAAGAAGACTGAAGAAGGACTAGTGTGTTTGTATACGGTATTGGCAAAGAATAATGAATACGTCATGGATTTCTAGAACAAATCTGCTTGAATGAAGCACAGCGAGAACATTCCCTAGCTATCAGTAGTGTGAGAGGGAGCTCTGGTGGCCTTGTGGCAAGAAGCTGTGCTGCAATCCTGAAGGCATGTGGTTCGAATCCACCAGCTGCTCTGCGGGAGGATGGGAAATCTCCTCCCATTGGATTAACTGCCTCTGAAAACCTGCTGGGTAATTTCTGACTTGATTGGACAGTTCTGACTTGATTGGACACAACAAGAATAGCATGAGTCGTAGTCCATTTGATGGTGCCCAGTGACAGAGATCAGTAGTGTGGAAATGTTGTCTTATGTGCTTCAGACATGTAATCAGGAGGGGACATTTTCTGGAGGGCGACATACTTGATACAGAAGAAGATCCCTGACACAGAGGAAGATCCTTAATGAGATGGACTGACATATGGGCTGGAACAATGGACACCAGCACAGCGACAGTTGTGAGGATGCTACAGGCTCTTGTACGTGGGCTTGCCATGAGTTGGAACTCGCTTGATGGCACCTAACGCCATGTGGCACGTGCTATTGTAGGTGCTGAGGACACATCACAATCTACAGATGAGGCATCCAGGGTGACAATCGGCTCCTTGGCGCCTTGTCTCGGTGTCTCACCAGCACCTCACGCTCATCTTCCCTCCAAGTTGGTCCTCGCCCAGCACTCCCAGTTTAGTGAAGGAATCACATCTGTCCTGGCACAGGATCCAGGAACTCGGAGATGCGGCTGCCCTCCTCCTCACTTCACAACCACCACATCCGATGCTATGGCGGAGGCTGGGTGATTTTCCTTTTAAAAGATGCTGAAGTCTTCTTCCTTCATCCCTGCTTTGCCCTAGTGGAGGTCACTGCCATCTCTTAACTACTTTCCTCCTGTTGCCCTTATGGCCACCACCCACCCCATTATTCACATTACTTGCCAAGAAGATTGTCTCAAACTTTCTCCATTAGTCATTTACTTAAAACCCTTCATCAGTTTCTCGCTACTCTTAGAATAAAGTAGAACATCTTAAAGTCCTTTTAAGGTCACTGAACCTTACTATCTCGCCTCACCTGTCTTGCTCCACACCCTGCCCTGGATTCTTTTAACCCCTTAGTTCCTCTGAAGAGAAAGCTTCCCTTTTCCATCTGTGGCAAAGAACTATGCATCCTACAGACCTCTGCCTCCCTGACCAGGCCCGAGCCCTGTACGTTTTTTTAGCACTCACTTTCCTATACTTTAATTTTATTATCTAGTTGAGTGATTTTTAAAATGCTAATATTCACTATCATCTTGCCCTCCCCCCTAGGCTATAAGTGCAATGAGGCCAAGGATAGGTCCACTGTCTCCACAATATTTTACTATGAAACATTTCACACATAAAGCAGTTTGGGAACAAGTTTACAGAACAACTGTTTGCCCATGACATGGATTCATCTGTTTCTAAAGGCTTCATTCTTGCTTTGCCCTGAGTGGTGCCTGATGCAACGAATCTTAAATGGAATCCCACCTTAAGGTTGTTCACACCTTTCAACCTCTAGGATAATATCTTAAGGAAGTATTTAGAGGAAAGTGCCATAGTATAGACCTCAGCATTGTCTGTAGGCGTGGAGATCTGAAAACTACTTAAATGATCATAATAAGTGAAAAGAGTTAGGGCATAACCCACACAGTGGAATTTGTCTCCACCCATAATAGCGATGTGGTGACATGGAGGGCCTCTGTGATGAGCCATTGGGAACAGAACAAAAGTCAAAGACGGGTCAGTGTCATATGATACTTTTGGTATAACAGGAAATAAATAAATGCAGAGATAATGTCTTCCATGCTGTAATAACCAACCAAACAACATCAACAAAATACCAATGATGCCATTGAGTCAATCCGCATTCAGTCCATACCTCTCAGAGGAGGACTGCTCTGTAATTCTCCTGGACTGTAATCTTTACAGAAGCAGATCCTCACCTCTTGTCTCTCACGGGTCTACTGGTGGGTCCAAACCTCCAACCTTTTGGTTAACAGCTAAGCACAGTAATTATTTCATCCACTCAAGGACTTGCATGTGGTATGAAAGCCAATGAGCTGAATCCAACTCTCAGAGACCCTACAGAACAGAGTAGAACTACCCCCATGGGGTTTCCAAAGCTATCACCTGTAGGGAAGCAGACTGCCACAACGTTCTCGTGCCTGAAGTCCTGCTCTTTCTGCTAATAGCCAAATGTTTAACCACTGTACCACCAGAACTCCTTTGTGCCAGAACAGCCATATAGAAATATATTTTACATATGTGAAGGCACACAGTTAGAATTCATAAGCTGCTCCACAGGAGATGGGTAAGCAGTCCACTCCCGTGTGATTTACAGCCTCTGAAAACCTGCTGGAGGGTCAGCATTGAGTTGGTTCTGACTCAGTGGTAGAGAACAACCAACACATATTTTAAAGGTGCCTTGGTGGCATAATGTGTAATGTTGGGGCTGTGGTCTGAACCTCCTAGTCACTCCAAGGCAGGAAGATGGCATCTCCTCTGAGACAGATTTCGTTTACAGCCTCAGACCCCCAGTGCAGGGGGAGAGCCCCAGTGAAAGGTAACTTTGAGTTGAAACTGACTTAATGACAGTCAAAGGGTTTAGTTTAGTTGGTTGTTGTTAGGTGTCATTAAGTATGACTCAGAGCGACATTATCAACAACAGACCTGAGCACTGTCCTATCCTGTGCTGTTCTCATCATGTGACACATTCGAGCCCACTGCTGCAGGTACTGTCAATCCATCTCACTGAGGTTCTTCCTCTCTGCTGACCCTCCACCTTTCCTAGCTTGATGTCTCTCTCCAAAGAATAGCCTTTCTCAACCCTGCTTGCTGAAACTAAAGAGGATCTGAAGCATTTGCAGCAGAAGGTCAAGGACTCTAGTCTTCAATATGGATTGCATCTCTACATCAAGAAGACAAAGGTTCTCACCACTGGGCCAACTGGCAGCACCATGACAGATGGATAAGAGACTGAGGTTGTTAACAATAACAGCTTGCTTGGCTCCACAATCAACACTGTTGACACTAGCAGTCAGAAAATCAAAAGATGAATTGCGTTGGGAAAAATCTGCTGTCAGGGACCTCATCAGAGTACTGAGAAGCAACAATGTCAGTCTAGAGACATCCAGGCCATGATCTTTGCAATTACTTGCTATGCATCAGAGAGCTGGACAATGACTAAGGATGACAGAAGAAGAATTGATGCCTTTGAGTTGTCCTGGAGAAGATTCTTGAACATACCATGGACTACCAAACAAACAGGTCTGTCTTGGAGAGGGTGAAACCACATTTCTCGTTGGAGGATAGTCTTGAAGCTCCATCTCACATATTTTGTGCATGTGGCCAGAAGGGATCAGTGCTTGGAGAAGGACATCATGCTTGGAAGGGTGGAAGGATAGCCGAAGAGAGGAAGACCCCAGATGAGATGGATTGATACAGTGACTGGGGCAACGACGGTTGGTGTGTCAGAATTAGTGAGATTGGCTCAGGACAGGGCAGAGTTCAGAGCTGCTGTACGTAGGGTTGCTGTGGGTCGCAGGTGACTCAATGGCACATAACAACAACAACATGCCCAAAGTGCTGGTTAGTGCATGTCAACTTCTTAAGTCTAAGATCTGGGTACTCTTTTGATCCTCATTTTATAAGGAAACTTGAGGTACAAAGAAGGAAAATAAGTTGCAGCTATTTCTGTAGAAAAATGTCTTGGAAGTTATACCCCAAAACCTAAAAGTAGTTAGTACTGACAGGCGGGGTTTGTTGAGATTCAGATTTCATTTTCTTTTGGCTTCTGTCATGTTTCCTTTTTTCTTCTCTGATGCGGTCCTACTTATGTATTTTTTGGAAGGGAAAAAAACCACTTCTCAAGTGGAGAAGAGCAAACTTGGCCACCTACCTAAGGCGCCTTCCTTAACAGCTGTCCCCTCATGCTAAGATTCAACACGACATTTGAGCTATGGGAGGTGGCTGTGTGCCAGAGAAGCCCCAGTAACCTTTGTGGGAGCTGGAGAGCTGGATCCCCACGTTCCCGAGCAGCTGCTCCGTCTCCTCCAGCCAGGCCAGTGGGAAGCTCAGTATGTCCAGCGCCGTCTTCTGGAGCTCCGAGACTGGAGGGCTCACCTGAAGGTGTTGAAGAAGGTCGACCTCCTTCTTCAGGTCGAGGCTGCAACACGGCTTCTTCATGCAGTCCTGAAACGAGACGAGACCATGAGGCCAGAAATAGCACTGGGAGAACCATGTGGAGAACATTCTGGACTTCATCATGAAGCAGTCAACACCAGGTGCTGGCTGCCCTGGGGGTTGTTGTGGTTCATTTGCTTTATATTTTGGGCACTCTGATTTGGACTTTTGATGGCCAGAGCGACCCCACTTTTAGGTGTGTGGCAATCCCAAAGCTGACTGTCACCTGCAGTTTGGTTGAAATGAGAACCCTATTTGGTTACTTCCAGCCATCTCAATTCCTGCCGAGATCAACACACAAGCTGGTGGGAAGGCCTCCTTCCCTGCTTTGCAGGAGTGCTGACGAGCCAACATTTGGCAGATGCCTCAAAGAGAAGCCGCCTATTTCCAGAGGAAGCAGAAGCAGCTGCCTGCTCTATTCAGAGGCAGCCCAGCGTGGGACAGCCAGGCCCTCTGGTCTGTCTCCTCCACAGTCAGAGGTGATGTGGATAAAAAGAGAATTAAAGAGTAGGGATATGTCGCTGGTTCATCTGGAAAGACCATGGGGCTATTTTCATTGTTGTTGGGGTCTCCCAAAGTTAGAGCTTCAAGGCACTTAGGCATGTTTCCCTTGGTTACACAGCTCACCTGGGTGGCCTTTGGGGAAAGTCTTTGTTCTCTAAGTTTCTCCAATAAGAGAAAAAAAAGTAGATTGAAAAAAGCAAAGATGTCTGTCCATACTGATTTCTACAAATAAGTTGTTGTTTTGTGTGGTTGAGTTGAAACTGACCTATCATAATGTTCTCCCACAGAGCAGCTGGTGGGTTCAAACCACATGCCCTGGCAGCACAGCTCCTGTGCACCAGAACCCTCTCTACTCACACACACACACACACACACACACACACACACACACACACTCTGTCTACA